TTTTTCACCACATTCAGCAAGACAAGATGACAAGCAATGTGTTCGTTCTTGTACTTTTACGACAATCAACATTGATTGTATTGCAAGTAGGGTGCAATTTTAGCAAATAATAACGCATACAAACACCTCTGGTCACATTAGACTAAACGAAACTCATTTTCTCTTCGTTACAGATATTCTTTGGAAAATGAACGCACCATTCGTTCGATGACCTTCAGGCTATTCGTCTCCATTTGAGACATTGCATAAAATTTCTGCAATACACAATCACAGAGATTGACAGACATCAAGATTTTCATATCTAAGGAATATATAATAATTGTATGGGTATTATAGAAGGACGTTCTAGGGAAAATAGAACAAAAATACTTCATTCGTATGAGAATTATGTAATACCGTCATTGTCCAAAATCTATCATGGTTACTTTAAAAATTCAGTTCATTCTATATATTTTAACTCTTTCTTGCCTTTGGCTAAAACTGATGATTCAGAAGGGTAATTCACGCAAGCACAGCAATCTTATGACTATTAATACATGCAAAAGAAGTTTGAATCAAATCCGTCAAATGTTAGTATATTAGATACGTAATGAATTCGTTATTCTTGTTATTTAGAAAAAAGTCTGAAAATGTCAACCATAACATTATGTATTCAGAGAACATCAAAAAATAGATTTTTATGATAAAGAGTAGTTTTAGACTGTTGATTTTAACTTGATGCAAAACCCATTTCTAAATATTTTATAATTTAATAGAATTAGATTTTTTTTCTAAAATGGTATTTATAGGGACTATAAGATCAAGAAAGTAGGGGCACGTGATTGTCGTAATGTGTTAGATAATATTTTCATTGACATAATACCAATCAAAGGCATATCAAATAATTCCGCATGCAAATAGATGAGAGAAACATGTACAGTGCTCATCGATCAGCCTGTTCAATAATAACCCATGGCTAAATCGAACAATCGGATTTTAGGCAAATGAGTAAGAACAATATTGTACATAAATTCATGATGCAACATTTTATGTGTTCAAAGTCAATGAAATAACCATTCGGGAAAAATAAGAAACAATATACAAAAAAGAATTGAACTATGGATCATGACTAAGAGTAGTTAATTTGATGGACACACTTAAGTTGAACGTGGTTAAATTCCTATTGAAATAATCTTTGCAAGAATAAAACAACATTTTTCTCTTGAAAATTTAGAGAGTCTTTATACGGTATTAGGCAAAAAACTGTTAGAGCAATACTTGCGGGGTTAAAATATGAAATACGAGGGAGTGGGTGAACAGTTGACTGAAATCCACACCCACATCACCCACACCCTCGATTATCTCTGTAACAATTGATTTCATCGTATTTACTGTAAATTATTTGCAATAATGTAGAGAAATTTTTAACTCATTAAATATACCTATGTCAACTAGAACCTATCACTAAACAATAAAATCGAAATTACGAAGAAGAAAAAATTTATTTTGGTAAACGTTTTTATCATCATATTAATTATATTCATGTTTTGTTCCTTTGATTTTATGATTTTAGTTGAAAGGAATAACCATCTTGTGTTTTCTTCTAACATTGATGTCTGCTGCTGTTGAAATCATGATTACAGCGGAGAACCACAAAAATACCAAACCATTATTAAACTACTATAAGGACTCAACTCTACAGAAACAATTTTAATAGCATGAGTATAGTTTATATTGAATAAAAAACAGCTTAATATAAAACGTTCGATGATCATTCTCATGTAAAGGTGTGGTTGTTAGTCAAGTTTAAGTGAATACCTACACTCTTGTTATTTTTTTTATCGTATTGTTTTAGGTGAAATGCTTCTATTTGACATAGTTGCGCACAGAATCACCATTTTTGGCGACAACCTATTCAGAATTTGTCGAAATTGAATGTAACTGCATCGTTTTTCTTGCAGTTTTAATTGAATTAATTAATACTTTGTTTTCAAATAAAACAAGTTTTGCATAAAATTTCGATGAAAACGCAAAGATTATTGTACATTTTACAGTGAATAAAGATATTTTCAACATATTTTTTACTGGATTGAAGTGTAAAACGTGATGGAACTGCTTTCATCATTTATGACCAAGTCGAACATCTCACAAAGTTTGCGTACTATAACAATTATGACTTGACATGATTTTTATCATTATCTCTATGAATATATGTGGCCTGATGACTTGAACAGATCAGCTTGGGTCTGTTTATTAGTTGTTTATGTTCTTCATTTTCATCTTATGTATTTTCTAAATTATCTCATGTATTTTAATTTAAAATTTTAATTTCACACATTTCTATCGATCAATTTCTTTGAACTCTATGAAAATATTGATCATTTATGCCTGTTTCTGCTATTTTTTTGTCATTTTTGAAAAACATCATCGGACATATTGATTATTGTATTATTTGATGCCATTCTTCTTCTTGACTGTGATTTAAACATTATCATCAATGAATGTCCAATTGAAAGCAGTATGGAAGATGATAATTGTCTTTTTTTCACTCTCTCCGAATTGTTTAGAATTTTTTCGATTGAATATAAAATAAATGATTTTTTTTTGCCAAAAAAGACGTTGCGAACGTCTTGTCATAAGTCATATCCTTGAAACCATCTGATGAATTTTATCGCCATCATGATAGATTTATACAACCAACACTTCACATAATGATTTCAATGAGTTAATGGTCGAAAAATTTGCTTTCGAAAGACAATGGTTTCAGTATTTGTTGTATTTGAGACAAAGAAGTCTTTTTCTTTTTACTTTGAGTTTTTTTTCTTTGTAGGAAGAAAAACGTGAGTTTCATTTGATTTTGCTTTGTCTTTTATTTGCACAACTCGTCACTTCTCACGACATGCCTTTCATATGAAGCAGCAAAGAAAATATTTCATCAAATTGCGAGTAAGAAATCTATATGTAGAAATGGCTAAGTCTACTGAATTCCTTCATCGTCTGTCGTATGAATGAAGCTTTATTTTAACTCAAAATTAAACTGAGGATCATTGTTTAACCCTTAAGATTGATGAATAAAAAAACATTAGCAATTATCAATTAATTTCATAGTATTAACGATTAACAAATCACTTAATACTTAACATCAAGTTTTTCTATTTACCACTTAATTCACATAAAATTAGGTTTTCATGAGTGTGTTAGGCGAATACCGTTTAGTTTCGAGTATTCCTCTACTGCAATAAGGATTCAACATGGTGTTGTTGGATCCATTTAAGAGAAAATTCATGCTTATCTTCTTCCTCCTGATTAGCTCGAACGTCACTATGTTTTCTCTTTGTAAGAGTATAGAAAATCTTGCTTAAATCTGATTAGCTAGAAGTTTCCTCATTTCAATTAATCTAATATCAGTAGAGTTTTTCTCCAGTCTTGTAAGGTGAAAGAGTAGTGTTGTTCAATCTGATCAGAGAGTTTATCAGAAGTTCTCTCTTAAGTGACTCGGTAATCACACTTTAAGTCCTTATTACGGCAAAGAAAAACTCGAAATTCAAATTATATTTGCCTAACACAAAAAATGAAGTCGTGATTATTGAACTTTTTTCATTAGTACTAAACTTAATTAAGTCGGGTGAAAAAGAAATGATTTATCTCTCGTTTGTTAGCTGACATTCGTCATCAAATAAAGCAAACACTTAAATCGATTAGTGACTATGAAAGCGAATCTTTGCTGTCTCTCACAGAAGCATGTTAATTATTAGAAAAAAAACTCACGATAAAGAATTCCAAAAAAAAAAACTTTTTAATTGCTAAAATGAATTCTAGAAAACCCGCAAATAGATTGATTGAAGACGAATCAACATTAATTTATTTGTACACAATCGTATCAAATATGCGTGAAAGTAATTTCAATGACGTTCTGAACCAAACATCGTGTTAGGCTAGTTAAACACTAGACAGTTTAACAAGAAGTTTCCAAAAATCTTGACTTCCATTATCCTCAAAGGAAAGAATGAATATGGTGAATGCTGAGTTCTTATATATCTTCAATCAGTATTCTCGAATATTCATTTTCATTGGATAAATTGTATAAGTAAACGTTGTTCTCTATTGACAGGAAAATTAGAAAACTCATTCGTACACATGCATATTTTAAAGACGAAGACGAAATTCAGATTACTTCCGGCACTTATTTTAAAGTAAGTGATCAATCGAATGCTGATCGAACTATTTGATCTTAGTCTTCTACAATTATCAAAAGCAGACAAATTGATCGTTGAATATGAAAAGTTTTTCCTTTTTTTCTTCACAACACATGAGAGTGAACCTATCTAGTAGTGTCATTTATATATAGGATTTTGTATTTTCATATAGTCTCTCGGTGATTTCTGTTTCAGTAGTAGAAACAAAAAGATATTTAGAAAATAAAATTCGTTCTCTGTATGATCAAATAGATCGAAATATGTTTCCTCAAAAAATATCTCATCATATTTTCACTAACAATTTTTGTCACCTTCAATCAAATAAATAAAGATGAAAACATCAACTTTTACATTGAAAAGATGGACAATAATCTGAACATTTCCAATTGACTATTGTATCGCTATGATCGAACTGGTTATAGAACTATAGATAAAACTTTCGAATATTTCTCCAACATGAAAAGAAACGTTTGTTTTTCAATTTATCTACCTTAAATCAAATGGCTAGTCGACCCCATATGAGTATTTTTTTTAATATCTACTTTTATGGTGATGATAAATGTGAAATACGCAATGCAATTATTGTTTTTTGAACGTACAAATCCAAAGAACTTTTCATTGGTTCATTCATGTCTTGTCAATTATTGTTAAATTAAATAATCCTCGATACAAGTATACAAGAAAATTCATAAAAAAAAGAATATTGAATAAATCACTTAAAATTATTTCTTTATAAATATTTATTATGAATTTATTTTAGATCGAGATTATTCGAAGTATTCTCATAATAAACTATATAACTCGACTGATTTTCTGCTAAGAGCAATGACGACAGTCAATGCATCAAATTTATGTTCAATCTGCAATAAATCATCAGTTAAATACATTTGTATTGGATGTAAAAAAAATTTTTGTTCGAAAGATTTCGAAGAACATGAACAACAACTATCAATAAAATTCGATAATGAAATAGTGAGATCTCACAATGAACTTCTTGAACAAATTCAAAAGTTAGAAAAATCAAATTATTTATCATTGAATCTTTTTGCTCAAATTGAACAATGGAAAAAAACAACAATCAATAAAATAGAAAACGTAGCAGAAAGAGCTCATCATGAACTTATCGAACTAATTGATAAACAAAGAATGAAAATAACAAAACAACTTGAATCAATTACAAAAGATATTCGTTCCTGTCAAGAAGAAGAAATTTTTCTTGAAAATGATATTGATCGATTGAAACAAAAGATCAATGAAATTCAACAAAAACTTGAACAATTTATTCGAAAACATACAAATATAAGCATCATTGTTGATAATGATCAAATTGATTGGAATCGACTCATCTATTTCAAAGAAAAACAACCAAACTGTGAGTATATTGAACTAAAAAATATAGAAGAAAACAAATTTTTCAATGAATCCATTCAATTTAATTCATTTATAGATTAGAGTTATTTCAAGAGACACACAATGTTCAGAAAATAAAAAGAATAAAATATCATTCGAAATTATTTTTTTTTCATTCGAAATGAAACACATTCAACTTTTTGAAATTTCATCTCGGATTCTCATAGAAAACGTTTCTAGAAATAGCATAGAATTTCATTTTAGAAAAGAGTTTAACTATCAATCATTTGATGTTACGAGACTCTGACTATTCATATCAAAGCTCATATTTACCTTCTACTAAAGATAGACTTGACTTCTATCTTCTATTCATGGATTTCACTTTTTTTTGTTTGTTCTCAATCGATATCTGAAATCTGAATAAGCAAGTATATCAATGAATCCAACAAATAGAAATTCTTTTCGGAAGTTTAATAAATACTAAAACAAGAATGATTTCAGAAGATTTCCATAAATCTATATGATTTTTATTCGTCTCAAAATAAATTCATCAGTGCATTATTGAATGACAAACGACGGAACAACAAATTCAACGTTTCTATGAGAATCGAATATTTGAGTCATTACAATTTTTGATGCAACAGGTAGAACATGTTCTCGTTTGAATGATAAGATCTTTAAAACGATGTGAGACAATGTTCAAAAATCTCGATTGAATATTGTTCAGTATATTTTCTGTTGTATTTAATTAAATTCGATAGATTATTGATTGTATGGTGTTCATTGACTGAAATGAGAATCATTTTTTTTTCTGAATTAGAATAGGATACAAAAACATGTTTACTGACAAATTATTTTAAGTGTCATTCGAAGTACGAATTGAATAATACTATACAATCATGTACTATTAGGAAAAGATGACAGTTTTATAATGAGTTCAACTATTGATATTATCATTTGACCGTAGGATTTCTCATGCTGTATGATCTCATTCTGGAATTGCATTAAGATGAAACGTTGAGCACCAAAATTTTTCGTCTAAACTCTTCACTGTTGATAGAGAACTAATAGGAAACTGTGAAATAACTTTCCATATCTACACATAATGATTAATTTTTATTGAGTGTTCTCTTCTCAGCAGCTTACCTATGATTTGTCTTTTTCTTTTGAATAGAAAAATAGTCATTAAACATAGTGAAATATTTGATGAATGTTATGCAATACGTATTATGAGAACAAAGTTACAGTGATATATCCGATTTGAAATAGTTTGATTTTTGACTGAATATCAATGAGTATACTGTCCGTTTTCACTTTGAGAGACAATGATATATCTTGAGAAATTTGATTCACCTCTTTCGAAAAATAAAATGCTTCCAAAAATCGATTCTTCTTTCTGATGCAATAATTTGAGACAACTTAAAATATCATGGGAACTCTAAGATAAATCTTTGACAACATTTGTTTCTGTACTTTAATCAGATTGAGCATTATGAAGTTTCCTCAATTTAGAATATTCTCATGACGAATGCTTCGAGACGATATTAGAAAAGGGTACTGAATGAGAATGACGAAGAATAGGATGGATGTGTATCCGAAAAGTGAAAAAGAAGAAAATAAATGCGAATCTTTGAAATATCATTCAGATTAGTGAATTCTTATAAGTTCTTTTCAGTGTTTCGCCAGATTAATTCGTTTCTTTTTACGCTACACTTGAGTCTTTCAACAGGAATCATCAAAACATTTGAGTTTGAATGTAAAGATGAGCACTATTTGTTGAGTTTTGAATGAATCACAAGTGACACAGAGTTGCATTTCAAGAGAGCTTTCTAAACGTCGAACATTCGTACGATTCTTTTGACCTTTTAATTGGAACAATTGAAAGACGGTACGAAGATGCTAATGATTGTTTGGTTATGCATTTTGACTTAGACAAGAAGTGATTTCTTTCAGTTTTGATGACTGGAACTGCATTCGTGTTCTATATAATAAAATCGAGAGCTTGAGGGAATCGAAGGAAAATAAGAAAATCATTTGAAATTTACAAGTTCTTTTAAGTTAATCTCAACAATAACGTAAATTCAGAGTTGATATACATCGAAATAAAACGGTGTTTTGATTTCGAATGATGAGTTGATCGATATTTATTAAATATTTTTAAATCAAAACTTTCAACGGTCACATAGAGAAGCAAACATTTTCTTTCTTTCAAAAATCACAACCAAATAAAAATATATATATATTCGAAAGAAATAGAAAAATTTTCTTTTAAAGATAATTGTGAGAAAATTAAAGTTCGATTTTTTTCCTTCTCAACTGACATTCAATTAAAAGTGAAAAAAGGTATTATTCTAACAGTTTGTTGTGAACTTTCTTTGTTTGAGTGCATTATTAATCTCGACTTTTCCGAAAATAAATATTTCTATCAAATATTTATTTCAACAAACTATTGTTGCATCTTTGAAGTTCTAAATGATCAGAAAAAGTTGACAACATGTTTCTCAATTATTTGGTCACATTTCAAAAATTCATCAGATTGATTTTACGAAAATCGAACTGAATAACACTTTATTAAGTGTTGCTTACCGTGTCAATTGAATATATATTCCTAACCACATTTTCTTATTTTACTATTGAAATCGTATCGAGAGTTCTCGACGTGAATTTCATTTTACATCTAGTATTGATGATATTCAGTTGATTTCCTTTCTTTGAAAAATTATTGAAACGAAAAGTCCAATTGTATCCATGTCAAAAGAACAATTATTGACAAGTATTTAAAATGATCGATCGATTTAGATAGAAACTTGATAGTTATTTCCACGTCATACAACTATTTTGAACAATTATCTATTCAAAAATGAGGACACTGTCAAATTTTCTTCACCGAAATTAATGATTCATCATGGCACTTTGCTGTCAACGCTTGTTTGAAAGGTGAAAAGCCTTTCGACAATAGTGAGATGAATAGAGAGTTCGACTTTGAATTTGAATATTTTTCTCTATTCAAGATAAAAAAAATAAAGAGATTATTATTGAGGCGTTGCTCCATACGACAATTGAGTAAAACTGATCTTTCTCTTTCTATATATTTATCAAATCTCTTTATTGAAAATATCGCTTTTCATCGAGTTACATTGATCCAATGTCAATGAGATGAAATGTGTTTTGTCTTAGCACCATTACTACGCAGTGCAAATCTGAGTGCTAATGCAAAATGGATACGAAATGGTGTCACTGTAGCTGGAGGAAATGAAGGAGGCGATGAAATGAGCCAACTCTACTATCCGTGGGGTCTGTGTGTTGATGATGATCAAACTATCTACATTTCTGACCATAACAATCATCGTATTGTGCAATGGAAATGTGGTGCTACAACCGGTCGAATTGTAGCTGGTGGAAATGGACAAGGAAATCGTTCTGATCAGTTAAACGGTCCATATGATATCATGATCGATAAAGAAGGAAATAGTCTTATTATTTGTGATTATGGCAACAAAAGAGTAGTTCGATGGCCTCGTCAATTTGCTACAAATGGAGAAACGATCATCTCAGATGTTGCATGTATTGGTTTGACAATAGATGATGATGGGTTTCTCTATATTGTTGATAACGATAAACATGAAGTTAGAAGATATCAAACAGGAGAAAGTCAAGGAACAGTAGTTGCAGGTGGAAATGGACCAGGAAATGGACTCGATCAGTTGAATTGTCCGAGATACGTATTCGTCGATCGAGATCATACAGTCTACGTATCGGATATGATAAATCATCGTGTGATGAAGTGGATAGAAGGTTCAAAACAAGGCATTGTTGTAGCTGGCGGTCAAGGTCAAGGAAATAAACTGACACAGCTATCAAATCCTTATGGAATTGTTGTGGATCAATCAAGTAGCGTGTATATAGCTGATTATTCGAATCATCGAATAATGCGTTGGACTCAAGAAGCTACACAAGGAAATATCATGATTGGTGGAAATGGTTCTGGAAATCAATCGAATCAAATCTTTGGTCCCATCGGTCTATCATTTGATCAAGAGGGCAATCTCTACGTGAGTGATAATGGAAACCATCGAGTACAAAAATTTAACATTGATCGACATTGATGATTTCTGAAAATTGACATTGCTTTAACGCTCTCATCATAATTTTAAACAAAAGATCGAATAATAAGGTCATTTTTTGGTCAATTCCTATCAAAGATTTCTTTTCTAGCTATTCTGACATTGTCTAGAAAAAAAAAACCTTTTCTGGTTTTCTGTCATGTAAAAATAACAAAATTCATTGTATCAAGGTATTAAAAACCACCAACGAAAGAGATATGTACCGTTTTCAAACGTTGACAATTATTAAGAAGAGAAAAGATCTTATGCTCATAATCGTTGTTGAAGATATGAAGGACAATAATAATAAAATATCGTGTCGAATGTGCTTTAAAAAATTGAGAAAGGGCTACTTCATTGCAAAATATAATGTCTGCTCACATTATGAGTTGAAGAACGATTTGTAATACGCGATTACCAGTCAACTGTATTTGATTTTTTCACCCGACACATATAGAATTCTATTGAATCGAGGGTGTGGGTGGGTGTTGATGAAGAGATAGAGAACACGATAACCCACACCCCACCCGCCCACACCACCCACACCCACACACACGCCCCTGTTGATCAGTCTTCTTCAGATATTCATATTCAGTCACATGAGATGTGAGACAATCAAAAAGACTTGTCCAATCGCAACCGAGTAAAAAATATTCACACTGAACCAGTCGTTTTGGACATCCTTTTGATTAATGATGTTTGGTATCGTAACGAGGACCTATGAACAAGCAATGAGTATGGGTTGTTTGTAAATTTGAAATGATTTTTTCCTCTGCAAGATTTCGGATGCAATTCGTTTTCAAAATTCAACATCGACAAGTTGGACAAAGTATTTGTTCATTTTCGAGCTTAGAATCGGTCGAGACATTATGAAAACAAGCGAAACACATAAAATGACCATTGACACATTGAAACATATGTAATTTGAAAATGTCTAAACAAATACAACACAATAAAATCGATACAATACGATCTGAAAATGAATGAGATCTGTGACCGGAGATCGTTCTACTTTATTTTTGATGAAGGTTCGTCAATTTCATTGGTTATACAATCTATTCTGGAAATATCCTTTTCATATACATATCAGACATGATGTCTGTTACTTCGACTGATCCACTTAATTTTACCATATTGTCCAGTAACTATCGTGATAAATGGTGTGTTAGAAAATAATACAAGCAGTTATTAATAGTACTTGTTTTGATATGAAAGCAAAATCGCAATTATTCAAGAAAAAAAATTCTAGTTAGATTTCTATGTATGTAATGTCAATGTTATTTCAACAGACATACATAACGCAAGAACGAAATGGTGATGCGATGTGGTAATCGTATACTGTATTATCATTATTATTTTCTTTTTTTTTTAGGTAAATTTCATTTTGCGATGCACTGGTATGATTGAATCGTGAATGAAAATGTCCGAATGATGACAAACGATCTTGCATCTTCGTGTTGATTTTTTCTGTGTTTGCAATGAATAACAGTACTCACATCTCACCCGTTTTTAGTTGTTCTCATTGTTAAATTTCCCTCTTCACATTCTCCTTGCTTTTCTTAACATCATTTTAAACTTCTGAATAGAACGAGAGTGTGAATCTACACATCATAAAAAGAAATAGTACTTCTTATCATCTTCTTAGAAAAAACAATTTCAAACAGTAACAATTAACGAAAATAGAAAGTTCTATGTAAAATGGATCATAGAACATAAATTGAACTGTTTTGCTCGAATAAAGTTGGTTCAAAAATGTGGACTGTGAGCGACGATGAAGATTAAGACTTTTTGGTGCTTCGTCGACGATGAAACAGAGAAAGAAGAGAAGCGAAGAAGTAAAAGAGGATGCCCATAAGAACGCATACAATGAGTAATGTAGGAAAATGTTTCGAATTTTTATCCATCACAATACCTAAAAAGAAAGTTTCAAGACATTTTAATTTGAAAACAAAATATTGATTAACTCACCAGCTAATTTTTGAAAGACCAATCCTCCGAGTGAGGCGCTGCACAAAAATACACTGAGTAGTAATGGAGTGACATTCAATCGTTGATTGATGAAAGCGAATGATAGAGGGAAAAGTGGAGAGAAAACTATACCAGTGAGTGAGCCAAGAATAAACAAACTGTACACAGACAATCCGATTGTCCATACATAAATTATCCATATTATGCCCAATGCTAATCCACCAATCCAGAGTGTAATGGATGCTACGTCAACTGATACAAACAGTGTTACAACAGCACAAATCAAACGCCCAAACTAAAGAAAAATCTGTTCTCACCATACTGATCCAAGAACTAAAAAGCTAACTCACTGAATACGAAAGCCAGTACAAAATCATACCTACAGAGGCAGCTCTCGTTGAAATTTGAAATTGTGCCGAATTAAGATAAGAAAAAAAGAATTTACCAAATGTTTGATCGAGAGCGGTAACGAAAAATACGTAAGCAGCCCATAGAATGGGCATGACTATGCTATAATAAGAACCACCAGAGTTACGTTTTTGAGGCGAATTTTCTGAATCATCAGGTCGAACTTCGTCAACAGGTGTCGTGTTCACGACACTATAATTGACTTGTTTAATCTGAAGTGTTTGACGTCGCGTTCGATGTTCACAAATGGCAAAGATCAAATGGCCAATGGCTATCAGTAAGCAAAGACCCGCTGCAATTGAATATGGAATCTTGATATTTGTTGAAGACGAAAATGAGAGATTTCTTATTGTAGAACTGATATTTGAATTGGATAATTCATGCTGCTGTCTTTTACCGAGAAATCGACCTACGAGAACATTTGCTAATGCAGCACCAAAACCAAAGCCCAAGTGAACTGTATTCAATGGAGTTGATGCATGCTCATCCCACATAGCCAATATAAGGGTTGTGCCTCCTAAAACAAATGTTGTTTAATATTTGCTGATTTTTAAATCATTCAGAAAATTGACCATTATCGGTGAGTCCTTGAGAGATTCCTTGACAGAAAAACAAAGTTGACAAAACCAATAATGAGCGAATATATGGAGTGACCAAAACGACTAAAAATTATTAAATGAACGAGTGACAAAACATTCAATTTTACTGACCAACGGATGGGATAAAAAATCCGACAGCAAGAAAAACTTCGGGATAGCGTTTAACCATTGTTTTCATAGCACCTCCAACTATATTTCCAGTTATGTATCCACCACTACGAGCAACTAAAACAGTGCTGATTCCAGTGAAAGCTACATCTATCTGCAAAGCCAATATTTTTAAAGTTGGACCAACTAGTTCCCCATGAATTCCCTATTATCAATCAACAAATCTTGTAGATGAAGCAGCATTTGCAAGATAACTAACCAGAACAATCCAAGATGCTACCAAAAAACCTGTTTTGAGCAATTCCCAAGGTCGAGAAGTGTATATTTGTAGACCTGTTTTCTTTTTCGTATTGACTTCAATGCCCTCTAGTGAAGCCATTGATCTTCTTCTTCTTTATTGACTAGCAATCGATGATAATGCAAAATAGAAAAATAAAATTCATGTGATATTTAACTTTCAATGTTAATGTGAGATAACTATAGCTGATTAGTAAAAAATCGAGAAGAATGTCACCCAAGCTAATGAAAGAATTCTATGGCGCAAAGTAGATTGTGTCTTTTTTCAAAAGTCCATGATGACTCTTGTCGAGCAATACTACATAGAGGAATCAATATTCATAAGAAAAGGGACATACTCACAGATGTAATATGATCGAGTAACTTGCCTTATTATAAAAATAAAAAGAATGAAAGAACTATTAACAGATAAATGCTTCAAAATTCACTCGTTTTTTTCCACTGATACGTATACATGTGCATCACTGTCATAGTTTGTTTCTTATCTATTTTATGGTTTCATTTAACAGTAAAGATTTGAAAAGATAACTCAACTTCTTTAGTAAAGTATTCTATCTATCATGTTTTTAAACTCATAACCACAGCAGACCTATTTTCTTTATTTTTCGTATGTCATCTCGATCAATAACAATACAAAATCAATGTACTTCTGCGATAATACCTTCTCTATGCAAATGAATAGACTCAAAAGTAAAAACAGCTCACATCATCAAATGACAATAAAATTAGTCCTTTCCTTTGTATGTGCACGTTGGTCGTAAAAGTTGTATGCCCTTTGTGAGGATTCGCATTCACATTCATATCTGCAGAAAGAAAATTAATAATGAGAACGTTTCTCGTTGCGAATGATGCTTTTGATCAAAACCGAACAAATTTTTTATTTACTTATAGTTCATTTATTAGCAACAGAAAAATTTGTATGAATTCGTGATTTCGACAGGTATAGAGTATGGGTTGATTGCAAATTAAAACTAATATCTTTGCATACATTTTTAACCAATATAATTAAATCTAGCTTCTTACAAGATGAAAATCATTTTACTTAAGCCCTAAAAACAAAAATATCCTATTATTTATAGATTGAAATATATAAGAATTAGGATGTTTCCGATTGTAAATGATGTTTCAGGAATAACGCAATGCACTTTTAGACATCGATCGTTTCATTCAAAGTCAGAAAAAGACATTCTATATGAATAATGTTTATGCTGAAAGATATTATAAAAGGGTACAAATTATATATTTTATATTGTAGCTTTTTGATAATTTTTGTTCGATTGAGTCTTTTATCGGATTTATATTTACGAAAATTAAACTTGAGTTATTCTTATTTCAAAGCTCGATTATTTTTCAATCCACCATATAAACAATATGGTTCCATATATGGTTTATATGAAGAAACTCGTCCTGTTTATACTATCTCTAATGTTGAATTTCTTCATGAAGTATTATTTTAATAATTCTCCTGTTTTCATTTTCACCATCTTCCTTTTATAACACGTTTATCAAATGGAAACCATATGCGTTTATTTGGAACTTACGGTGATCGTTGGCGTCGTCAAAGACATAGTATTAATCCAACATTTACGAATTCAAAACTTAACTTAATGTTACGATTACTTCAAAAATCTATTGAGATATGTATGAAAAATGGAAGAAAAAATCAACATCAGAATTTTGATATATACATTCCTTTCCAACAATTAACAATTGATATTATATGTAAGTTCTATATGCCTTTCAACATTACTATTTGACATGCATATTAATTCTTTTCTATTTTGTTTTCATTATTCAACGTTTATTTGTATTTACGACAAAGAATCGAAATCTAGATGATATGATGAGTGAAATAAAATCGAATAATAAAGATTTATTAAAAATATATTATACAGACAAGTGTGTAGTGAATATACGCACAAATCATTTGAAAGACTTTTGTTTGATCATTGAGATCTAATAATTTTTCTCAGTATATCGTTATCAAAACAGAATGTTATTTTCAAAAAACATGGATGAATCTTTAACGAGAGTATGTATGTGGATATGGGGGTACGTTCAGCAATGACTGTGCATGTGTAGGTGTCTGGGAGTCAGACTTCTTTTGTCTCTGGTATTCGCTCACAGCCACACCTACATCCTGTTTTATAGCTTTTGCTTCGTAATAAATTCTCCACGAGGTTAAAAGACCTACCTTGGAAAATGCTGTTGGATTGTAGTTTGTGGATGTCAATAAAGAAAGATTTTTATAAGTGTTTTTATAGCTTCACGGGGTCATTGATTTGAAAGAAAAGGAAGAAAAAAAGACGACTTACTTCATTTAGCTTCTTATGTTAATATAAAGAGAAAGCGAAAACTGGAAACTTTTTTTTGTATTCTAAGTTATTAACATGCAACGATTTCGAAGTATTTTTCAAGCTCCATATTGTGCACGAAACTCTCTTGAAATTTTTTAGCCAGACCATTATTCTAGAATAAATATGCTGTATGTCCTATATGAACGTAGGGTGATTAAAAAAATTCAGTCCTCAACTTTGGCCACATCTACTTAGCATGCATTCTTTTAGCAGTCCACTCTTAGTTCATAAATACTCTTTCAAAAACATGTGTAATATGTTCCATTGGTCGACAAACTGATTCTGCTAGAGAGACGTACTAGGTTAATGCTATAGCTGTAGTGAAGTTGAAAAAGCAAAGTTAATGGTCTGAATAGACTACTACTTTCTTCTTACGACCTTGTTATCTCGAATGAATCATTATTTGTTATTCTGTCAGACTTTGGAGAAATTGCACAATTCTCTGTCATAAGCGTAGCTGTTTGTGACAAGCTGCCTAGAAAACCTAATAGGAATATTACATGTGTCATAGTCAACAACAGTGCGTCATTCTGTTTCACTTAAACTATAATAAGCAGCGTTCCGCCATATTTCACTATACAACAGTAAAATGTTCACTTTGGCGACAAAGCATCATCCATACCTTCAGACTTTAGAACAAAACAAAGAAGCACGAAAGGAAGTAATCCTCTTCATCCGACAATATCAACACCAATATCAAATGTTCGAGCATCAACGCATAGCAGAGCTCAAGAAAAAACCAATTTCATCAGAGACACAAAGACGACGCGACTTAACATTGTATGTCATGAAAAAGCTTTTAGCTGGCTTGTTTTAAATAAAGATAAAAACAGAAAACATAGGTGATGGTTTTTGTCAATGTTGACAACATGGTTGTGGTATGAGAGTGTGCTTGTCTCATATTTTCAAAAGGTTAAATACCACAGAGAGGAAAATTATTGTTTGAATTTATATTTCATCTAACGTGCACAATAAGCGACAAGAAAACCAAATACAGGAACGGAAACTTAAGTCCTCCTCGCCTCTTTACCTAACATCTGTTCTCATCTGAGAACGATCGATCTTTCGGATATATCCAAAATACGTCTTCTCAGGTCTATAAATATGATAGGAAAAATTTTCACCACAAATACTGAATTCTTCAGTGCTTGTTCTTAAATTACAGATCAAAAAGTAGATCTCTGCATATTCTAGATTTCTGGTCGAGGTCAACATGTAGCCAACACTTGAAAAAATAGAGACACTCCTATTGGCAAGGACCTATCGCTCTCAAAAGAAAAATAAGTCACAGAAAAACTAATTCGGCTCTGTTAAATAACATGATAGTGAAAAATGAATACAAAGACTCATTTTGAAAAAAAACGCTAAACAATAATCGAAATTTGGACGTTCAGATTTCTCCTGTTATAGAATAATTCATGAGTGACCACATGTTGGTGTGAGATGCGGATGTGTGAGTGTGGATATTCTTGTCTGCTAAAACTCACACCCACACCACACCACATCTACACCCATTCTATCATGACATACATCAATGTTTTGCCTGAATCCATCCTCATGCTCTTATTGGTTATTTTTCTTTTCGAGATTCGTATACTATTGATGTCTAATTAATGGTCTCTACTAGAAATCAAAACAGATTGTATGAATAGCGTGAACCATTTCACTTACGAAGGGTGTGGGTGTGGACGCGAATGTGGATGTGGGTGTAGGTGTGAGTGTGGATGGCTGTGGATGATAGTCTTTCCTTCACCCATCCTCTGTAATTATAGATGGAGTCTACCAAAATTAACGCATTGTTATTTGAATATTTGTTTTGCTTTTGAAGATTATTTTCTCAACCCAACAGTTATCTCGACATCTCTCAGACATTTAGTTTTCAAAGTGTTTATTCTTTATCGACACTAACTCATTTATGTAAATGTACACCTAATCCTCAATATCTTCATGCCAGTATTGAGCATACTTCAGATAAATTCGAACTATGATTATCTGTTTTATTAATTACTCGATTAAAAATTTCATTCAATTCTTCAATAAATATCGTACAAAATCTTTTACAAATTATGCCTAACTTACATCATTTAAGATTAGAAACATATAATGCTTATATGCATAAATTTGAATAGCAAGAAATGATTCGTAAATACTTACCTAAATTAAAAATATTTCAATTTAAAACGAGATTTTCACCTTTCAACATCGAAGATAAAGAGAACCGATTAAATAAAATAGTTGATTCATTTCGAACTAGATTTTGGATTAATGATCATCAATGGTTTGTTCGATGTCATTGATATAATCCAAATGAGCAAAATCAGTTTAATTTTATTGAACGTCTTACTTAACCATATATTTTTAACAATTTTGCTACTAATCTTAATTGTATTTTGGCAAAATCAATTTGCCCATATGATGATGAATATTTGATATGCGATTATGTGAAGTATTTCTGAAGTTTCATGGTGGGATATCACTAGTAAGTCGGTTCGTCGGCTCAATTTACTAAGATACACGGATGATAACGAATGATTTCCTTTTAGTGATGAACCATGTGCTCGACTGAGTCGTTCGCCATTAGGTATTCAATGTGAAACACTTTTGATCGAAGTTAAAAATCGAAGAAACATATTTAATCTTGTAAATAGTATGTCTAATCTTCAAGCATTACATGTTCAATATAAAGATAATCGAACATTCGAAAAGGACTTGCTACGACCAAAAGATGATGAACTTGTCGAATGATTACGCCAACAATTACCATCAACATGTGCAATTACGAGCGACACAAATCTTTTTCATGATATTCGAATATGGATGGGTCGAAATTGATTTTATGTCAAGAAAAATTCCATTAAACATTTAGTTTTCTTTAGTTATTCTACTAGCGGAGGTACCCGATGTATGGAGATGATACGATAGCATATATCTCACGGATGATAATACAATGTTGCCACAGTCCTCAACAGCTATTCATCTGCAATATCATAAGCTACACTCGAATCTTTTCTTTTTTAATTTTAATATTCAACACATTAAAGCCGTTATAGACTTTTTTCCTTTTTATATTTTTATTGATGAACTTCTTTCAAGCAAAAAAACAGTAAAATAGAAGTTTTCATTGTAAAGCTGTTTTGTACACGATGTTCTTCGTTTTTCCATCTGGAGCAAAAACATATAAATTCTCTCCAGTTCCTACTCTCGAGCATGCCACATAAAGTTGACCATGAGAAAAGCAAGGAGTTTCTAAATTGACACCAGCAACTTTAAGTGATTGCCCTTGAGCCTTATTAATAGACATTGCGAAGGCAAGCCGTACTGGAAACTGAAGTCGTGTAAATTCGAATGGTATATCAGAAGGGAGCAAAGGTATTTTTGGTATGAATACATCTTCACCTTTTGCACAACCTGTCATGATCGTTGCTTCGATTACATGAGGCATTAGAGTTTTGACACATAGCCTTGTACCATTACATAATCTTGGTGCATCCAGATTTCTTAGGAGCATAATAGATGATCCAATTTTCAGACGCAAGTTATGTGGTGGCATTCCAGAAGGTTCGAGTGAATTGAGAAACTCAGTTGGATACTGAACTACCATGTCGATATCTTTAACTGTATCAATTGATTTGTAAGATATAGCTTCACCAGGAAGTTGTTGCTGTATTTGTAGATTGATAGCATTTACATTGACGTTTTTCGGAGCCAGAATAGCACGTTCACATAACCATTTGTGATCCTTGTACTGAGTTTGAATGTTTGGAAACACTTTATTCTTGAGTTCTTCGACTGATTCAACGATATTGCAAAAGTTGTCTGAAATATTAATAAGTCCACTGACTGGGTCAGCAGGTATTTTGCCATTTCCAATTGCGAGAAGTTGTTCAGCGAAACGGCCGGCAGATACGTCATCTCGTAAGTGCACTCTCATGTTAGTACTGAGTTTTAATGGTACAACATGTCTCCAAAGATACGAAGATTTCAAGCAAGCTTTTAGCTCATCAGCCATGGTACCCTTTGGAATAACTGGTAATGTTTGCCTAAAATCGCCAGCAATAAGTACAACTACTCCACCCATATTCTTTCCATTGTTACGAAGATCTTGTAAAGTATGGTTCAAAGCTTCTAATGCATACCTATGAGCCATTGTGCACTCGTCCCATACAATAAGTTCACATTCTTGCAGAACCTTTGCTTCGCCAGTTCCTTTGGTAATACTACAGACATGAGTTTGATTTTCCAAAAACTTAAGAGGTAACTTTAATGTCGAGTGCGCAGTACGACCACCGTGAAGCAGCGTAGCAGCGATACCGGAAGAGGCGACCGCAATCGCAATCTTTGACTGATGCCGGATTTTAGCCAATAACAAATTAATGACAAATGTCTTCCCTGTTCCACCAGGTGCATCAAGGAAGATTATTCGGGGAAGTAGCCAAACGTCGACGATAAAATGTCGACAAAAAAAATGTCGACAAAAAAATGTCGAAAATCAAATGTCGACCGAAAAAAAATGTCGACAATGTAAAACGTCGACACACTAGATGTCGACACACTAGATATCGACAATGTAAAACGTCGACATCATGAAATACAAAGAAAAGAAGCTGATGATAAAAAAATAAAATTGGAGCATGAATAAATTAAATTTATGGTTTATTAGGTAAAATTCGAATACATATTAATGAAAAATAAAATAAAAATGCATATGAGTGATAACGAAGAGCTAGAGTCATAGATTCAAGGCATGTATCAACACATTAGTATAATTTTCATTTTGTGCCAATAAGCTTTGATAATTCGTTGTGATATTCATTCAATTTAATCGTTTGTTCGTCATATCTCCTTCGAAGTTCTTTAAGTTTATCCTGCATAGTGCATGTTTTCTTTGACGTCTTTTTTAACTTGCCAGAATTGCCATGAATTAACTGTTGTTTAAAATGAACTTCTTCTTGCTTCAATACATTCACAAATGACCAAAAATTAGGATGGTTTTTTTCGATTCTTTTGTTGAATCGACTATGCCAAGCTACAATGGGAAAAACAAGGTTAGAACAATACAAAAAAACAATTATGCCTTACATTCAACATTATTGTTAGTTTTTACTTTTAAATTCGATACATTCCAAAGACGAAACGGTACCTTCTTCATCCACCAATCCGCAAAATATTCAAAAAATGGTTGCAATTCCACTGGAGCTTCTTCACTAAGTGTTTCAAAAGCTCGTTGAACGTCTTCAACTGGGAGTAGTGGTAAAGCCATCAAGTGTCTACACAACGAGCGTATTTCTTCATCGTTGTTGTAAAACATGCTTAATCCCAATGCTTGAATACGACGATTCAAGCACTGGGTGTAGTGGAAGAAACATCCCGAATGTTGCGCGTTCGGAAACTAAAAGAAGTAAAAATGTAATAAAACCAGATCGATGTGAAAGTTATTGCTTACATATGAAGCAATTGTCTTGATAAGAGCTTGCTCGAAGTCGGACATGATTTTGTTCGGATTAAATTTGCAATTAAGACTTTGAGCTGCTGCATCCAATATCTCAAAGACATGTTTGTATATTGAAGCAGTTCTACCAGGCAACAAACCGATAACACATGGAAAATCTTTAAGGAAAAGTAGTTCATTGTTAAAGAGGTATTTCAAAAAACTGGAATTGACTTACTGTATCCATACTTGATGCAATGCAACGAAAACACTTGATTGAAGTGTGGTACACATGCCGAAAATGTTCCATCGATCATAATGGTTTTTGCTGAAAAAAGCATACGCAATTGCTCATCTGTTGCAAACAACAACACCCGCTTCTTTCGCACAACTTTGTCACTGAATAAAAAATGTGCACCACTGATTGTCGTTGAATAGGCATCGGGAACATCGAAACAAGATGATGTTGGCAATGGTGGTGTTGTTTGTCGTCGTAAACGATTAAGCGATGCTTCTAAAGTTTAAAAAAATGAACAAACAGGACATGAAAAACGAAAATACTAACTTGCGTCGTCAGCCAAAGGAATTAAACCTAGAGCACCATCACTCAGATTAAGAGAAGCCATTTCCTTGTCGTAAATGTTTCCAATCGCCGTTGTTTCTTTCACAACTCGTTCTTTCACCTTCTCTTTAAACATTGCAACTTCGACTTGTTCAGGCACTGGTAAATGAAAATTATGATCACCGGATTTTCCAACATATTGATTGTTGTGATTTGTATGAATATAAGCTGAACAAGTTCGATCTTTGCATCGCCAGTACTTCAACTTTGACCGTGTACGGTTTAATTGAAAAATGAATCCATCACATATTAAGATCGGTTTACGTTTGTTGCTGGTCGAAAAGCTAAGACTAGGAACAGTTGACATATCACGAAAAATATGCTACTAGAACGAAATGAAAAAGATAAAATGTGTTGAATACACTAACATGATGTTAATGCACAAATGACGAGTGTTTATATATGAGAGAAGGGCGAGAATTACCTCGAACGAAAAAGAAACAAGGGAAATCATCTAGAATGTTCTCGTCTATACCGTACAAAGAGATTACTAAAGAACGAGAAGCAAAGAATATTTCGTTAAGGACATTTCACTATAAATTCGAAAAAAATCGTATTTAGTTACGTCCAGGCCAACACGCATAAAGAAAATGCGCAAACAGAAAAAAAAATAGATGACAACATATGCTACGCGAGTTTTCTATATCATGATAGAATTGTCGACATTTTTTTACACGTCGGCATTTTACCTGTCGACATTTTATCTCTCGACATTTTATCTGTCGACATTTTTTTGTCGACGTTTTGTTGTCGACATTTTTACTTGTCGATATTTTGTTTTCGACATTTGTCTACTAAATCGATTATTCCACCAGCTTTCTTCTCGATCTGATCCAAAATCGCATTGTATGCAGCTCTCTGATCCGGCACCAACAGTGGCTCCTTTGCTGTTATATAAGCATCCAACTCTTTCACATCATAACTTGTTTCTCTGAGCATTGCACTGTTTAATCGATCACCCGAATTTCGTTGAGGAGTTGGGAGCTCTAATTTCTCAAGTTCTTTGCCACCCATCTCTAAAACTTTATTTTCAATAACAATCAGTGCTTAATTAAACATATCTGGTGTATAATCCAAATTCATTACAGGATTTTGTCTGCGAGCATTTCTCAGAATGTCTTCAGTCAAGCTTTCTTTGTACGACTCCCATAATTGTTTTGGACTGGATGGTCCACAAACAGCTAGTATAAGAGCGAATAGATTTCTTAATCTTGCTGGCAATTGAGCTGCAGCTCCTTCGGACATGGTGGCATCCCATTGCTGATCATCTTCCAGTAATCCATGTAGTTGACATGCTTCACGAAATGTTGCACAGATCTGACCGTTTACAGTTCGAAGAGCTTCAAATGAAGTAGGGCCTCTGACCACATGAAGTAAGAGTCGTAGGAAAAAGCATTCGAAATTATTAGGATGCACAGTGTAAACACGACCCAATGCATCTCCTTCTCTAATGTCTGGATAGCCAAGCACAGCAGTTCCTTGAACACGTCGCTTAAACACTTTTTCAGACGCGTTCCATGTGTAGTATTTTGGAATATCACAGTACAACAGCGTTTTGGCAAAGTCGTCTTTCTGGCAGAGTAAGAAAAATGCTGTTAGTGTTGTTCTTGGTGGTTCATTAACTTTCTCATGAACATTATCTTCGGTGAAATAAATGCGTTGACCATTTTCCAAATGAACAGCCAAATGAACAACGGTTGGATATCGTTCGTGAATTGGAAAATCCAAGATTCGCCAGACTGCTTCATTGCTACTGATGTATCTACCTAACTGGTAGTTACTAATTTCATCAACTGGTGCTCCATCTCTTCCCAAACCGAACACTGCCTGATCACTGCCCTTGTTGACATATTTGCATATGTATTTGATTGATTTTACCGAGTTGCAATATTCCACATTAATGTGGGCTTGAAAGATCCGAGAGAGTAGTGGACAATATGGCACAACCCACTTGTTGTCAATTTCGATTTCTTGAATGGAGTTATTAATTCTCATTTTGATTTTGGCTTTGATACCACCATCTTCTGAACTTCTTCTTCTATACGATGGATATCCATCGTCACCGGTTTCTGTATCATGCAAGAGTTGTTTTGGATATCTTTTTGTACACTTTTTGTTTTCCATACACGGAGAGTTTGGATTGATACTTCCACATGGACCGTGAATCATATTCTTGATAATTATTTCAAATAGTCGAGGATCTCGTTCAGGATCAGGTAGTTCTGCGCTGATCACGCTATCTATTTGATCCGCTTTAATTTTGTTCTTCAACCATATCAAAATATGGGCATGTGGTAGTCCTCTCTTTTGCCATTCAATAGAATACATCCAGCATCTTGTTGGCCCAAATACATGGCTTTTGGTAATAATGTTGACCAATTTAATGAGCTTTTGTCTGAACACTCTTGCTAATAGGTCATGACGATCAGAGGGAGCTTGACCTTCCATTAATTCTGCTTGAATTTCTTGCCACTTAGGATTGCAGGTGAATGTTATAAAGAGGTCGGGTCTTCCGTGGTTTCTTACATAAGTCATGGCGTCTTGTGTATATTCATGCATGTGCCGGGGACTTCCAGTGAAAGTTGCTGGTAGAATCACTAATTGACCAAGATTGTCAGCTCGTCCATCATTGGCTATAGCATCTTTCAGGTGAATGTATTCATCCACTCTAAGCTTTTTTTGATTATAACGTAGAAAAGATAATCTTTCACTTTCGATCTTAGCGTACATGTCAACCACATACTGATGGAAAAGTTGTCGGCACTGTAAGATATGATTGACAGCACCAGTTCGTACCATAATTCTGTAAGCATAAAAACTCATAGCCGATACTTTTTTGCCAGTGACAGCCATTCCAGTTGTTGGATCAGTCTGTTCGATAAGAAAATGGTAGCCATCCTCACCTTTCCAAAAGATGAGAGGATATTGCAAGGTATCATACGACCTGTGTGTCTCAGATACTCTCTGTAACTGGCCATTTTTCTGCTCCAAGACAATATCTCGTTTCTCGAAGTCGTTGCCAGCGATGACAACCGCCACCTCATTTGTCACTGGCTCATTGAAACGACGTGCATGCTCTCCAACAGGTTTCATGTCTGCTCGAATAAGCACCTTGTATTGATCTGTTGGCATTCTTTGAAGGGCAGTCTTGAAAAGATCAACATAAATGTGGTGCTCATGAACCATTTGCTGCAGTTTCTCGACAATGTCTTGACGTACGCCAGGCATGTTTTTGCAACGTTGTTGTACTTCTTTTCGATCGTCGCCCATGAAGTAAATTTGAAGAAATTTATGTTCTTCATTCGAAGGCGGCAGCAGAGATCCTACGCGATGATATACTTGACCCTGAACTCTGAAAGTAGGCATGAAGCCTGGGTCAGCCACTTTCTCTGACGTGCCAAAAGATGTCATTTGAAAGCAGGAATTGTATTTTCTAATGTTGTCCAAGAAATGCTTCGATTCAGGCGTTGTTCCTGACATTAATGATTTCAGTGGTTCAGGAGGAGGCTGAAGTTCAGGTAACTTTACTTTACCACCAGAACAGCACATACCTCGTGTTTCTGCATGCCACTTGAGGGCATTACAGTATGGACAAACATCGCTCATTTGTCCAATATTAAGTTGAGGATGGCTGTCATAGTTATTGGCTGGATCATACCGAAACGCTTCCCCTTCCATAAATGTCCATTGCGCTGCCCTTGAGGCTGCTTGTCGTCTACGCTGATCTTCACTTCGAGTCCGTCTCTGTATGGGATTCTCAGCTGCTCGTGAAGCTGCATGTCTGGCTCGATCATCTTCCCGTCGACTTTGTCTCCGTTCTGGAGATTCAGCTGCTCTTGAAGCTGCTTGTCTTGCACGTTGACCATCAAGTCGAGTGCGTGCGTCTTCAGAATCTTCAGCTGCTCTTGTTGCTGCCATTCTTCTTGCAGCTGATGTACTTCTTCCCAAAGAGGCTCTTTTTTTTACTGGCATCACGTAATTTTTTTATCTAAATAAAAAATATAGAAAATAGAAAATGCTCCGAAGAGAATGAATTTGCAATCTTACCTTTTGAATTTACTGTTGATATCACGATCGAAAAATATTTGGTAATCTGTAAGCTTATAATTTTTATATGGAATATTGGACACTTACTCGTTTTTGAACAATTATGTTTAGTGATAGAATAGAATATTGATTTTATTAAAAGCGTTGAAGAATAAGAAACACTATAGTGAATTTAGTTTTATTAATGATAAACAAAAGAAAAAGATACCTATTTATATAGATGCAAATCAATAGCATATTTCTATATCATCATCATCATTTAAGATGACGTAAACATTCCAATGACGATATAAAATATGATATATGAGGAGAAATGTTATACATGGCATCATACACAACAAATGACAAAGAAATGAAGTCATATGTATTCAAGAATGTAATACAGCTGATTATTGAGTAAAATTGTATAAATAGTATATATAGATACCGTTAATACGTCATATTTCTGAGTCATGAAAAAGAACAAAGACGTTATCTTTGAGCGTCAGAAAAAAATGCATGCGTCATTGTTGTAAGTAAAATAAACACAAACACATTTCTTTATGTATATAGATGAGCGCTCAGACGGCCTTCGGCCGCCTTCGCTATCAATTATTTTAATTTTTTGGAATGCTGCAATCCTATTGGTCAGTTTTCTAGATTGCCTGTAGCAAGCACAGGATTGGCATAGATAGATGGAACATGTGAAATGTTGTATATGAGCGCTCAGACGTCCTTCGGCTGCCTTCGCTACCAATTATTTTAATTTTTTGGAATGCTGTAATCCTATTGGTCAGTTTTCTAGGTTGCCTGTAGCATGCGTAGGATTCGTTTTTTTTCGGAAAAAAATACATGTCGACCTTTCCCTAGGTGTAAAGACCATTTCTGGAAAGTTTCATAGCATTTGCTCGTACCGTGTCCAAATGCATGAAGAACAAACAGACAAACATTCTTCTTTATATATATAGATTTATCGACAATTTCATTGTTAGCACTTGAAATATTTCAATTAAAAAATATCAAGAGTTTTTAAGAAGCATAATATTTTGCTCGACTGCTGACTAGATACTTTAAACAAATATTCATAGCAGAAGAAAGAGTATTTAATCGTCCTTAAACCATAACTATTGATAGAATGAGAAATATTTTTCATCTATTTATACATCTCTGAACAAATGTTCTGGATTCGTCTTTCTTTTTCCTTTTTCTGTAAGTTTTGGGTGTATGAAAGTTCAGTTTATTAGTGATATCTTGGTTATTTGTGCTGGGAAGTCCTAGATACGAGATGTGGATATGTCCAATACTTGTGAATGTCTTTGAAGTCTCTACCTGAACAACTTACTCTCTAAGATTATTACAAAAGATTGGGGTTTGGATGTGACTATGGCTGTGGGTTCGAAATGGGTGTGGGTGTGGACGATTAAAACACTCATACTCTTTCGAAAAATTTTGTTTTTTTTTTTCAAAAAATAATTCAGGCTCATTCAAAAAGATCTTTCAGCTTATAAATAGGAAAAAGAAGATTTTTTGTAATAAAAAGGTTTACTCAATGATATTACATGTATGCCAAATTAGGTCAACTGTATCTATTGTTTAATAACAACTTCTCAATCGTATTATCATTGAAATTTTAATCACTAAGTGGAAGGAACTAATATAGCCCAGACATTGATTACGTAACTCTCAAAAGAGTTCTATACGCACTATAATTATTCAAATTTTTCTTGGCCAACAAAGCATTTAGTGTTATTGGACGGCCTATATAAATAGCCGATTTTGAAAAGAAAAAGAAACTTTTATTTCTCTAAAAGAACATTGAAAAAGTTATAAATATGTAAATACTATTCATTTTATTCTTTTTCGATCCAACTGAATTTGACAAAGAATTATCACTATGTAATAAATGCACTACAAAATGTGTGCCTTTTAAAATTTTACATTATTTCAAATCGAAACAATTTCAAGACTACTGATCTTTATAGACATAAAAATGCACCTCATTTTGATCTTATTAATAAAATTCTATCAATAACCTGGAGCGTGAAAGTCTTCGTACAAAATGTTTGGCAGTATGTTAGTATCAAAATTTGATACTGTTTCTCAATATATGTTCAAAATCATTTTCTAACTCAAGGCGGATTAACTAGGTGCAAATACTTGAATAAACCGAAAAAAGACGTCTGTAGAGAAGTTTATCATATTGCCTGTTTTTGTACTTTGATCAAAACTATTGCCATTCAAACGATAGAAAACCTTTTTATATAGTAGTTTGTAGAAAAAAGTTCGCTATACAAAATGTTTACTTTATTCCACTTTTTATCTATGACAAACGTGACTCAAAATCTTCTGCATTTTATAAAACAACATTCGAGAGAAAAATAGTTTTTGACAAAACTTTATCTTACGCAGATAGTAGTCATTCGAAAACTTCTATAAACTTTGTTGTCTTTTAGCTCTAGCTGATTGTAACCCATGATTTTGAAGAAAACAAAATGGTTTACAATAGTGTAGAGTTACAAGTATTCCAAAATATCAATCAGTGAATTTCTGAATGACAAAGGTTTTAACTTGTTTTTTTTTTAATACAAACATTAGTTTTAGCTTATGTAGTTATTGGCTCACAGCTTTTGTCATCCTCCAATACTATTTAAGTATTCGAAAAAAAAATAAAAATCGATGCGTTTAAACGCGTTGAATTCAAAATAGGATGTATTGAAACGTAACGTTGACATTAAATCGAATTCTATAACAGGATCATAGTAAGACATCTAGTCATAATCATCATTAAGTTTTATTATCATCAACAAAAAATCTACTAATCAAAATGAAAAAACTTCTTCGCATTTAATGCTACTGCCTTTGTTTTTTTTTGTTTGTATATAAAAGTAAACAGCAAATATAAGAAAGAAAAAAGAAGACAACATCAAGAAATTAAAAAAACAAAAAGATATAAAACCTTTAATGTTCTAGATAGATGAATTTATTTAGCTTTGTTTTTAATTTTTGCCTTAGTTGATTCAACTGATTGTTCAACTTTTGATCTTGATGCTAAGCCAAGTCGTAATAAAAGTAAAAATGAAATAAACATAAATGTACCCGTATACTCGATGGAATAATTTAATTTTTGAAATGTAATTATCGCATTTGTCATTACTATCAATAAAATAAGATTTGCCAATGTTTGTGAAACACCTAAAATTTGTTCACAAAAAAAAACAAAGATAATTTTTTTTTTCTTTATTTTGATTTATTTTTTTACCGAGAAGTAATAAAAGTCCACAAGCTATTTCAGTTATACCAATTGTTAGACGATAATTTTGTGCATGTGGACGCCAACCAGTTTGACGATAAAATGGAAATTCTTGATTAAATTTTTCAAATTCATTTTTCATATGTGTATGTTGTTCAGGAAAAAATTGTGGTGTTACTTTTACATGACCCGAAAAAATAAATAACGTTCCAAGTATAAAAGTTAATAAATGTAAACCAAGTGAAGCCATTTGTTCGACAAAAACAAGAAATATTGACTTACTTTTTAATGAAATGATGATATTTCATTGAAAGAATATATCTTTTTAATTAAACCAATCAAACATAAACACCATAAGCTCTGGATGAGTCATACATTTTAATCAGATTGTTACGTCATTTATGCACTTGATTTTTAGATCGAAAACGTTGTGCTTGTACAATCCTGTTTAATTTTCGCTCTAGTAGTGGTAGCGGTTCTTGAATAGCTATTTATTAATATGTTCCTCTCTGTAGAAACAACCTTTTTTTTGTTACGTTAAGAATAAAAATAAGATTATTCACCAATAAGTATATTATAAAAATGTTCGTTTTTCAGTTTTAGAGTGTATGACATGAAAATTTTTTAAATTTATTCAATAGGCCACAAATAGATATAGCTGTCCCTGATATGAAGTACATCTACTATTAATTGGAAGAAAGAAATGTCTTTTAACCCTTTTGACATATACCATTTCGTTTCGAATATTATCATATTTTATTTGACTAGATAAGTTACATATGCACTTTACATAATGAAAATAAGAGATTGATCATATATACAGAACGAAAGAATTGAATGATAAATTTTTGTTATGTATAGTAGCTATCGAAAGTTTTCAAAAAGATTTATTTCCAAATGTTTCTTTTTACTGTGTTCAATGTTAAAACATTCAAATAGTAATATGAGTAGAGTTCACTATAAGATGAAATTAAAATGATTACCAGATTCTCAAAAATAAGATGTGCAGAAAATCGAATTCTCAATTTTCTAACAGCTGGAACGCGGGAATATAATTTTGTTTATACATTTCAAAATGATAGCAAAAATAATAATGCATAAAATATAACGTCTTTAAATTTTCTATGACTACTTTTGATTGAATCACAACAATATCAGGGAAAGTTCTGAAGCTGTTTCTGTACAATGCCGTGGTTCTCTCAAGAGCGAGCAATAGCGAAAATAATGTTCTAGTTTCGATTTAAAACTTTGCATAGAGATAGACTTTAATGAGAATAGCTCATTATGAAAATTTCAAGTCATTTGATTTGTTCCTGTCTTGAAGTAAAAATATTCAATCTACGATGTATATGAACAATGTAAAAGGCATACATTTATCATAGATGTGTCTTACGATAGGAGCCAGGAAGAAAATTGAAATGTTCATAAGAGATGATTCTCACAATGATCTGTGTCTGTTCACAGACTTAAATGGACATTCGAAAACCATTTTCGCTAGTGTTCCTGAGGGAAACTACAGTAAATCCGTAGGAATCAGCTAAGAAGCCGAACTCTTTTCAGAATATTCATAGTTGATCAGGATCCACATGATGCAGATAGTCTCAAATCAAAGCAATTAATCATTTGAAGGATTTCTGTCGTCAACCCGAAAAGGTTGAATAGAAAATTCGGACACGATTGATTTTGTTGAGTGTCGCCTGCTCTATTATTCTTTATAGTCGGAATATAGTAATATTTGTGCATTCTAAGTGTTTAAAACACGAAGAATTTCGTTTTTTTTGTAGGTACCACCTTTAGGAATCTAGTACTTATTTTTATTGCTCAAGACAACAGAAAACATTGAGAACAAACTTTGTTGAGGAAATTTAGTAGCTGCTATATAAATATAAATCTTTTTTATGGAACAACTAAATTAAAATTGTTGAGATTCAACATTAGGGAATTCTTTTCTGTTATAGAACATAAATCTTTAAAAGGAATTTCAGAAGTTGTCAAAAGGATTTTTTGTGTGGCGTAAATTAGATGCGTTTCTATCCTGTACGAATAAGTAGAGTGGTAAAAACAAAAGAAAGTTGTCTCTGAAACATAAATGGTGGAACGATCCTCACCTAAGGAAGCTCAAAATCCTTTTCTTTTACAAAACATCATAGACAAGTCAGGAACTTTTTTTGTTTTTTATGAAAGAGATAGTTTTGCATTCATGCATTTGTATACGTCTAAACTAACAATATAATTTTACTGTACTGTTCTTTTTCCTCAGTATGTGATCAACACGAAAAACAAATATTTAAATTCGATCTCTAAAGCAAATTTAATACCACAACTAAATGAAACTACTATTCATCAACGATAAAAATAAAGCTTTGTCTACTCGTTTTTTTAAATACAATTAGGCTAGATTCTATTCCAATCCAATTTGCCTAATGTTCCCGTTTGTAACTATGTCAAAAAAAATCAAGTAAATGTAAAAACACCATCCAACGTGCGACTAAATGGATCCCCCTTCCATTCTCAGTACTTTTGGAAGACACTTGATAGGAAAATTTGAAGCACTCAGGACAGATAGATCTCGATGTATAGCGCAAAAATTGTCATAGATTCGAAATTCACGGATCCTTCTCTAGTCGATACTAAATTCATAAGAACGAAAAAGGACTTCTCTCACCACTCCCTTGCTCAACTACGTCACATCTGATAGAATTGAAAAATTCTTTACGTATACTAAATACTGTTCGGATAGCCTACTTTTTTTAAATCTCTTTTTTATCTTCTTTCGTTCGAACAAACGTACCAAAATTCTGAGAGCATTCGCAAAAATGCATAGTTATTTCAACTGAACCTTTATTCTTGTAAAACATCGGAAAAACTAGCAGTACATCATATTTTGGAACAAAAATGAAAGTAGACAATCTAAATACTTTCTAGTATAAGTAAAAAATAGTTTCAGCTCAATCAGATGTAGTGTGGTTGAGAAGTTGGGAACGATTCTCCACTTCTTTTTTATGGAAAAAAAACTTGCTTTTTCAAAAATAACGAAATTATAAATAAACTTTGATATTGTTTTTCAATGAAAATATTCTATTTTGTCATTTTTATTGGCTGTATAGTTATATATTAATTTCTGAAGATACCAGTGATTGCTAAATTCATTGAATTCTTGGTGACTGTTTCAAAATCACATGGTTAGTGTACCAAGAGATGCATCTATTTAATATACTATCACGTGTATTTCATTTTATCCTTTCGTTACATCACTTGTCATCCTTAAACTACATCACTCTAATTTCATATCATCCTTATGACATATCTCTTGTATATTACTTCTGTACCATATCATCCCCATACACACACATAATAGTGCTCGTAATGATCAATACTTGTTCAATACTATTGTAATTGTTACGTGATACACTGTTCTTTGTCAACGCTTGTGCAATCACTGTATTATATCCTGTATATATTCATATTACTCTCTTTGGACGAGGAGGTTCAGGTGAAGAAGAAAAGAGAACAGTGGAGAATATATTCAGTTGATGATAGTCAGCAGTGAGAGTAAGATTGAATAACGATATACTTGTGTGTGAGTGATATACATAGTGGTGTATAACTTTATATGTAAAAGAAGAATAGCGTTGTTGAAATAAAAGAGCAAGTGATAGCGACAAGTAACGGAAGTGTGCAGAAATCAACAGAAACAAAGACAAAGCCAAGAACTTAGTGATTTCTATTATCATTTTTCGTTATAACTGACGACTCTGGCAGGATAAGAATAAGAAGTATCTACAACTGCAATCTTCTGATCAATCTCCCAAAGTCAATAGAACGATATGATAACAACAATGGCAGCGGAAAAAACCACAACTGAAAAATTCACAGTGGAAAAAGCTGTTCACCACCTGTTAGAAACATGTTCACATAACGCAGAGCGGGTGGTACAATTAGAAAATTAATTCAAAGAAACTTATAATATTAATATCGCTCGACATGAAGAGACGTCAACAACTTTAGCAAGACTTCGTGAAGATCTATCAGGTCGAATCGACGAAACACAAGCTCAAACTTGGGAATGGCATGCTAAAACAATGTCTAAACTTGAAGAATACTAACAGCTATTAAAAGTAGTTTTGCAACATTTAGACGATTTAAAAAGAGAAGAACGAATAGGGCAATCTACTGCACAGGAATATGGCAGTGCTCATGTCGACCACTCTATTTCGACGCCATCAATACTGAATGTCTCATATCAGACAGAACGTGTCAAAGAGTATGTGGATCACGTTTCTAAAAACACAGTCATGACGTCATTACCTCATGCAATCTTAATACCACCAGCATCGGCAATACCGACTTTTTCTGACCGACACTCGGAACGCCCGAAACAGTTCTTAGTTCGCGTGCAAGAATATACTGAAACGGTCCACGGATGGGATCGAACTAGCCTACTCCACGGTATCTCACAATTCCTACGAGATACCGCTCTGGAATGGTATTGCCAATTAAGAGCTTCTCATCGACGACTCGACACATGGACAGAATTCGTTGATTTATTCCTTTCATAATTCAACTCTCCAATACGAACCGCTCGCCAAGAACAAGAGTGGTACGAATGCAAGCAAAGGGAAAATGAAACAATCAATGAGTTTCTGGTCCGTTTACGAGCCATATGGACAGAACAAAAACGAAAAGAAGCTGAAGTCGACCTGGTTAAATACTTACTATGCAAAATGCGTAGTGACTTACTTAGTATGATCGGAGTCTCTCGAGGGACTTCGTTAGATGAAATTATCGTGGAAGCCCAGAAAGTTGAAGAAATTTTATGTCGTCGGAAAAAGGAACAACGTCGATTCGAATATCTGAAACAAGTTTCGTTTCAAGATGATACACCATACGATAGCAAAGGTTCCAAGGGTGATTATGCCAACGAACATAGACCACAAATAAGTAGAAGAATCAAATATGCTACAAACGGTAGAATGACTTCACCTCCTCGAACCACAAATGACTCAACAAGCCAATGGCACACAGGAAGTGTTACAGTGATGTCGCATGTATACATATTCACTATTTATTGTTAACCTCTATTCTCTTTCATCTCTTTGATTCTTTAATTGGTTCCTTTGTTTTCTTGTTCTTCATAATATATATATCTCATCTATATCGTATATGTATTTCAGAATTGTTTCTTCGATTACATAATAAAGTTGTCCACGTACAACAAGGGCATACGTGATGATCGTACATATATACATA